ACTGAGTCTGAGCTGGCGGCTGCAGGCCACACAGTGGAAACACCTTGGCGTGGGCATGCATCACTAAGTCATTCTTGCTGAAGCCGATGCTGCACTTGGCGCACTTGATGCCGTATAACCTGAGCAGGGCCCAGCCCAGAAAGAAGGAGAAGGGAGGGAAGGAGGGAGAGCATGGGAGGGGAAAGGGAAGGACAAGGAAAGGGCCGGGGCGGGGGGGGAAGGAATGGGGGAAAATAAAGGTTTTCACTCCCGGTCGTGGCCAGCCTCGTGGCCCCCCGTAGACGCGCCACACGCAGTCCACTAGTTAAACAAGTCTTGAAAATACAGAAGCCAGAAGAGGAAAGGAATAAAACGGATTTGTTTGCTGCCAGCAACCTGACCATAAAGGACGGCAGGGACCCGGACACGCCGGTGGGCAAAGAGAAGGAGGAGGGAAGGGGTGGTGGAGGTGGAAGGAGAAACAGGGAGAGAAACATAAAAAGACCCCTTTCCTTCCTGAGGAGATGCCAACCTCTCCCTCCTGCCCCAGCGCTCAAGCTGCACCAGGCAAGGGGCCGTCCCTGCCCTCTCCCTCCTTCCAGCACGGCAGAGGTACCTGACCTAGGCTGGCCTGTTGCTGAACTGGACCACCCAGGTACACTGGGGAAAGACGAGGCTGGCGAAACTGCTATCCACTTCCCACAAATGTGCCAGCCTCACCAAATGCTGTTATTTTTTGCGAGAAAACCAATCAAGACTTCTGCTGCTTAATGTGTGCCCAGGATCCCGGCAGTTTAGCCTCTGACACATGGTGGCTCTGCCAGCAGCTGGGGCTCTTCCCCTTGTCCTTTCTCACCAGGTTCATTTTATACAACAATATAGGCATACACACACATCTCCTTATATATATACACGCTCACATATATAGTAGTGTAACTCCCCAGCCCCCTACTAAAATGCATTTTCGGTGCTTTGGCTCTGCAGCCTGCCCCTACTTCAGCCTCACTGCTCCGTCTCCCCTCTTACTCACGCTCCCACCTTGAGCCAGGGCTCAGGCCCTCCAGTAGGAGTAAAAGGGCAACTTCTCGCTAACAGCTTCACACGGCAAATAATGGATTTCTGGGGTGGGTGGGTGCAGGTTCCTCATCTCCCATGGGGGAGAGGGGGACAGTTCACCCATCAGTAGATGAACATGAGAAAAAGTTTCAACTCTGGTATCTGGAACTGCACAGTCTCTCGACTCTCACCGAGTGCTCCTTAGCCAGCCTCCTTGGTATTAAGTAAAATTAACATATTTCTGCAAATGTACGGATACACGCACAATCCACAGAACTGTAAAAGCTGTTCATAAAACTGAGCTAATATTCATCCCCACACATTTCCTCACCAGTACACTTCATTAGAGATAGTCATACATTAGAGATGTATACTTGTGGGTACAGATGTTTATTTACACACATCTTTAGCTGGTATGTCTATGGAGGTGTACTCATCCTATATTCAGAGTACATATTTCTGAATTATAACGCTTTGAGAAGAAAAAAAACCCACAAACAAACAGCTAAACGGCCATAGAACAGCGCGATCGTAAACTGTAAAAAAGCTGGCTGGGGTTGTCCACATGTCTGACAATTATAGATTGGCTCACGGTCTAATTCAAAGTCGACTAGCACATAATGTACATCTTACTTTTAAAATTGTAGCAAATGAAAAGTATTGCGTATTAACTTAAGAGCTGCATATTTTTTGTTTGTTTAAATTTTGCCCACTGAGTTCTTGCAGAAGGTAAGTGAGCACATCTCAGTGCCAAATGTTTTCCTTTCATTTGAAAATAGTGAAAGGATGAAAGTGTACTGTTTTTTCACCATAGTAAAACTTTGAGAATAATCTCACAACATGGCTTGAAGGAATGATCTGCTTATGAACTGTGCATTGGAGAAGGAAAGACTCAAGTGCTTTATTTCAATTCAGAATTACAAAGAAACTAGAAAAGATATCTTAGGTGGCTAGGTAGGTACTTGCTCCCAAAACTTTCTGTAAAAAAATAAATACTGTCTATACCTCAGTGTCATGCAAAGTTCTGGTTTGGCAAACCCAGTAGACGACACTGAAACGAATCAGCATGACCCAGGAGTACAAATAATGAACACTCGAAATTCCTGCTTTGTTTTCTCTATAGTTTCAGGGTCGGCAACTCTCACATTTTATCAGTCACCAGATTTTATTGTGAGGAAGGAAGCAGTTCTATTATCTAAATATACCCAATTGTTCGCGAACAGATGATGGGCAATTTGATCTGCTCTAATTCATCAGTATAGATAATATAAGAAAGGACAGTCAGATATCACCAAAGGGGTTAATATTTAAAAAGATTAAATGTCAGTTATTTTAGCGAAGAAACATTTTGGTCTAGGTTTTAACCTTCCCACAAAACGATCTTTCATCCTGAAGGAATTTTCAGCTTTGTTTTTGTTTTTCCTCTGACTTTTGTTTGTTTATGATAGGCCTAGATTAAATAGGGCTTTTTTTGCCTGTGTATTTATTTTTATGGCATACATGCTTGAAGTGCCTTTCTTATGAATGCCATTATGCCTTTGTGAAAACACACATTTCTCAGGTTTTGTTAAAAAGCAATCAGTTCGTGCTGCTCATATCTACGCTACTGAAAACATTCTCAATGTTTTCACTACGATTTCCCACTTTGTTTATACAGAGATTTGTATTTGAATTTGTGGAATAAAAAAAACTTGACGAATCAAACAGCTTTTCCTTGCCTGTCTATCTATGTTGAAATCACTTTAAAATATACCAATAGTATTTTCATCCTCTTTCTCACAATTGTTCCTCTCCCTGCCTCTGTCACATTTATAAAGTTTAAAAAAAATCTCACCAAAGAATTAAACAATGTAAGTGGCGTACCTGATATAATCTCTTTTACAGTTGGTTTTGCCATCCCTAACAAAGCACGTACAGGTCTTGTCCAAATATTGATTACACTCTGCACACTTCAAACACGCCGCATGCCATTTGAAATCCGGAGAAACCCTCAGAATATACTGATCGTGAATTTGATTGTTGCAACCAACACATAGGGAAATCAGGCATTTTTCTGAAATGAAAAGAAATACATAATTGACTAACCGTTTACTCTCCTACAGAGATAAAAACACTTTTAGTGTCGTTCCCTTATAGGGCATACTCTGGAAGTGGTGTTGTTTTTTGGTGTTTGTTTTTTTTTTAAAGAGTATTACACTTTTGAATGGTAATTGAAGTGTGCCATTGTTTAGAAAGGAGGCAGAACATATGTTAAAATGCAGATGTGAACAGTCTTTGGGGTGAAGGTCCTCATTTCACAACCCTTGCACGGAATCAAAACTCCGAATTCCCTCGTGGGTTTTTTATTTTATTGTTTGATTGTTTGGATTCCTTTCCTTATGGGGAGAGAATCTATATGTTTGATTTCATTTTTTAAGAGGCTCTGATTGGAAACGTCGAACGGATGGCTGGGTGCGCTTCCCATTCAGCCCTTTGCCATAGAAGAGGGGACTCGAGGCTGCTAGCAAGAACAAGCATCATTTCGGTTGTCACTTGCTCTCTTTTGCAAATCTAATGCTAATTCCCCTAGACTGGTGCTGGATAGTTAGACAGCCTCACCGCAGTCTAGCACAAAGAGAATTTAAGGCTCCGTGGTTGGAGATCCCATTAAAATCCTGCCTGCTCCCCAAACTTTAAAAGACAGCAGGACCCCAGGATATTAACATACAAGGCTACAAAGTTAAAACACAGCAAGCATGCAGGCATTCAAATGAAGTTCAGCTCTTTATCAGTTCGCCTGCCTGAGATGATTACAATAGACAGCACATTTATTCCAACAATGGTAAAAATTCTGCCTTACTTTTTGGTGGGTCTCCCATATCTGTAAGAAGGTGTAATATCCACAGTGAAATGATTTACGGTTTCTTTTTAGGACCTCAAAGTAGTTTTGAGAGCTGTTGCTAATAAAAAAAAATAAAAATCAGTAGAAGTAGTAAAAACAAAACAACAATAACAACAAAAAAAGACAAAAAAAAAAAGGGCAAAACAAAACACCACCTGTGTGGGAGATACTGTCAAGGCTGTGGAGACAAAACGGGGCGCGGCGGAGTCGGGCTGCATGGGAACGGTGCGGCAATGTTGGACTGGATACTGACGGCTCAACCACTCACCTCACCCTTATCTCTTACTCAAACTTCTCTGCTTCAACTCAGCTTGCTTGCCATTGGCCTGACATCATGTGCAGGGACATCATGCCTGCGCGGCGCCCATTGGCTCCGGGTAGCAAGGCGCAGCTGTTCTGATGATCATATTTCAGCATCAAGTAGTGCTGCTGCCTCTGCTTGGGCTTTTGGAGGCAGCTTTTCTTCGCTCCTTAGTTCTATTTCCCTTTATACTTTTTTCTCGTCTCCTCCATTCCCATTGCTTATCTCCTGTCATACCTTTCATTTTCCTTCCCAGCCCACTCGGGCTCCTCCACCTTTTCCCCAGCTCGGGCTTGCCGTGCCATATTTACAATTTCGGTATGTGGCTGTTTTTTGTTGTGTTTTTGTTGTTGTTGTTGTTTTTGGGGTGTGCGTTAATTTAGCTATTTCCTTTTCGAGTGTTTATCTTTCCTAGGCGTAGCTGCCCTGAGCAGGGAGGGCAACGCAGGCTGGCTGGGCATGGCCCCAGCCACGAGATGGGACTGTTTATGTTTTTCCTCCAGCCTCCTTCTCTCCTAAAATCATGGATAAAAACTTCATGTATTTCTGTTAAACACAAGATCGAAGAAGGTACAAATATTTACCTTAAGTTGTCTCTCAACACTCCCTGCGTTCTATTTATGTTTTCCAATCGCTTTTAGGTACTTTTCCTTTCCTTCTTTTTTTTTTTTTTTTCTTTTATTCCCATCTGCAAATAGAAATGCATCCTGTGTTTAGATGGTTTCATAGGTTGGCTGGGAATGGATATTCGGGGAGAAAAGTGAAGAACTTCTGCCTTTGCCCATGGAGAATCCCTTAAAATTCTTATTAAAAAAAAAAAAAAAAAAAAAAAAGAAGGAGGAAGAAGAAGATGCGAACTCTGCCATTTGCGTGGCTCTGCAGCACTGGTCCCCGGAGGCAATGTGGGAAGTCTAGACCCGAGAGGGCCACAGCCAGGTGTGGTGCGGTGCTATGCCCTTACCCCTAGCTGCGCACCGGCGCACGGTGCCCCGTAGCCTGCCCCTTTCAAAGGGCAGGCTCCACTTAGGCTACACGGTGAGTTTCCTTTAGCCTATGTGTGAAACTGTACCTGCTCCTGAGCGTGCCCACCCCAAACCCTCTGAATCCTCCCCTCCATCTTAAAGGTCCCCTTTGAGTTTGTTTAAATCCCATTTTTGTGTTCTGTTCCATAAGGGCTGTTACACTGCCCTCATCAACGTAGAGTATAAGTGCCCTCCAATCACTACTCATCAGGAAAAAAATTTTTTTTCAAAGTCCTATTTTTTAAAAAGGCAAGCGACGAGACTAGAGTTTGAGTGAAAGAGAAGCAAAGCCATATTCACGCGGAATATCTTCCCGCGGGGAAATCTGGTTGCAATCAAACAGCCAAGAAAAAGTTCTGAAACTTGCATTTGCTGATGAGACAGCTACTAAACAACAGACCGCCTCGGAGTCCTAACTTAGTTTGCAAGTTGTTTTCCTTTGCAAAGCTGAGGAAGCAAACACACCTTACAGTTTTATTTCAAACAAGAAGTGGTACCCAGCGTTGCTGCTTGTAGATATAACTAAGTTGTCTTGAAATGATCTCAAGATAGTGTCAGGAGGTAAAGATATGATTGTAAACACACACAGTTACTTTACATATTCGACGTTTAAATAAACAGTGGGAAATGCAACTCCACTAGGGGATCACTTCTACATCCAAGAAACTGGCAATAAACATCTATGTGGGTGTATTTATGTATATGCATATATATATGAGACCGTGTATATATATACTATATAATTCTGTTTTAGCTGAGTAAAACAAAAAGCAATTATCAGGAATTACTGCTGATGCTGGCGGCTTCAGACAGCCTGGCACGTATTTAGGGCAAACCTGAAGCAATTTTCGATTTCACTTAAATCGACTCAGACTGCGGTGTTGCCCCTGTGCCGCTCTCCCGGGCTAGGGGTGCACTGCCGTGGCCCGCAGCCGGGCACTCACCCCGCGGCTCGGCACGGCCGCCTCCGCAGGATCGCGGTGGCGATCGCATTCCTTGTTGCCCATGGAAGGCGCGTTGCAGTGCTTGGTGTGAGCAAAGGCGGCACTCATCGTGACGGGGGATCGGAAGTGCGCAGCTCTCCGCGCGGGACCGTCCCCTATGGGCCGCAGCCCCACGCAGTGGGCGCGTTTCTGACCTTTTGTGCCTTTCTGCCTGGTACGCTGCATATATCACACTCCCACCCCCTCCTCATGGGTCATGCTGAGACGCCCCCCCCCGCCGTGTGGCCTCGAGGGCTGCGAGCTGGCAAAAGATCCGAGCATAAGTAACTAAAAAAAATGTAATCCAAATGACTGAGAAAAAAGTTCGTGGATTTTATGAGAGAGATTGAAACAGGGAAAGTGTTTTTCCGTACTCCATCCACTTTTGTCCCGATTAAAATATGCCCTCTCCCAGCTCTGAAATAACACATCTTATTTTCCACCATTACACCTTTGTTTGAAAATAATTCAGTCTGGTTTTAATTCTATTAACCCCAACTCCCTAACTGTGGGTTTTTTTAACTACTACTTCTGGGAGAGGTGATTGCATTTTAAGCTTGATCTTTGCAATAAGCGATAAACCTGTCTCATTCCCAACAAATCAGGACTTGGAAGAAAAGGAGGGCTTTGATCAAGGTTTTGTCATCCCTCCTGTGCTACTGATGTATTTGATTCACGTTCCCAGGGAGCCGAAGCTCTATATTTAGGCATCATCAGAATTGGGTTTAAGGGGGTGGAATAATAAGTGGAATTTCAATTAATAAGGTATTTAGAGAAAAACCCTGCTGAAGGATTTCTCTTTTATGATATCAATATACACATGAATGGGAAGACATAAAATGGCATTTGTACTTATTTGAGACACTTAGGAAAATATATGTTAATTTTTTTTTTTTCCTTGCTTTTTTTTTCCTTTTTATTTAGTTACTTTTGGGGAGGGGACTGGGGGAGCCTGCTGAAAGTCTGTGGCTCTACACAGCAATCAATAGCTTTCACCACGTTGAGGGGCTCAGATGAGATTATATGCATTTGAGGGAAGGAAAAAACCTCACCCAAACCAAACACCAAACCAACAACGGCGATTAACCCTTTCCGTCCCGTAAAGAATAGCTATAAATTCGGTCCTGGTGAAAACTAGGATGGTTCCACAGGGGAAAAATAGTGTGTGTGTGTGTGTGAAACAGCTTTGGGAAATTAATAAAGAAGTAGTGTTGGTTCTGGAAGGGAGGCAGCATTAGGTGCTGAGTGAGATGCCCTTGCTGATGAGGGCTGGGGCAGTAGCGGGCTGCAGTGGCCGAGTCACGGGTGCGAATGGGGCAGTGCAGGGCTCCCCACACTGCCCGACTGGGGCCCGTTGCAGTCATCGTCCCGGGGCTCAGACTCTGGGACCTGGCGACGGGAGTTAGCAAGGTCCCCATACACAGAGAGACTGATTCTTCAGGAGGGCTATTTTTGTCCCGCTACATCGCAGTGGCTCAGCGTAGCCTCGCCACTCGGGCTCCTTCAGTCAGCTCCAGTTTAAAACGTTTCTTGAGGAACTTTGTACCAGAAAGATGCTTTGCAAGAAGAGTCTGGGCTCCCAGAGGTTCAGATTTCCCCTCGCTTCCTTGCGGGATGCAGCGAGGACACCAGGGCTGAGCCTGTGCAATGTGCTGAGAGGGGAAAGGACTTTTGCACAAAGCTAAAACTGCAAACAACGCAGCAGGGAAATCAATCACGAAATGTATTAGCTGCTCTGGGGTGTAGGCTTTGACTCATCCAGAGGTGTGCGATCTTTAATCTTCAAGTTGTAGCTACTGCATGTGAGGGAGAAGTGTACCGTAACAGCAATAAATCTATCAAAACACAAGAAAACTTGTCATTGGGCTTCTGCGCGCCCAGGAAACCTTCGTGACTTTAATAATAAAATTTGGCTTATTAAATGGTGTTACCGCTTAAAAAATGCCATCCTTTCCCTCCTAGAGCCTTCTCGGAGGCTGTCACAGGACTGGCTAGTGGCACCGGCCCCGCTTTAGTCCGGTCAGAAAAGGGTACACTGTAATGGGGAGTGCAGGCAGGGGAGCAAGTCTTTGGCAGTTGGGGGGAAATAAACCCACAAAGATTTTTTGGGGAGGAAAACCCCCCAAAGATGTTAAGAAGATGGCAGAGCCCGGGTCGGGTCGAGCGTTCTGGAACAGGACTGGAAAAGCCCAATCTCTTCTCAGCCAAGTGCTGCCTGGCTTCAGCACCGGCAGACGCGCCCGAACAGGGGGAGTGGGGCAGATAGGGGATATTTATTGATTTAAACTTTCACCTTGATACTGTAACAAGCTCAATATTGTTTGTTCACCAA